GCCCTACACAAGACTATCGAACGTTAAATGAAGGAACAATCAAGAATACCTATCCACTTCCCCTCATCTCCGAACTCATTGACAAACTCAAAGGCGCCAAATACTTCACTAAACTGGATATCCGATGGGGTTACAACAATGTACGCATTCGAGACGGAGACCAATGGAAAGCAGCCTTCAAAACCAACAAAGGATTATTCGAACCCACAGTTATGTTTTTCGGACTCTGCAACTCTCCTGCCACGTTTCAAGCAATGATGGACGACATATTCATAATCGAAACCACCGAAGGATGGGTCGTCATTTACATGGATGATATCTTCATATTCACCAAAACAATTGCCGAAAATATGGAAAACACTAGACGGATCCTCCAACGCCTCGCTGACAACGACCTATACCTCAAACCTGAGAAATGCGCCTTCTGGCAAACCAAAGTGGAATTCTTAGGGCTAGTTATCGAAGAAAACAAACTCGCTATGGACCCGGTAAAACTCGCTGGAATCGCTGATTGGCCTGCACCTACTTCAATACATGAAGTCCGCTCGTTCTTAGGCTTTGGAAATTACTACCGACGATTTATTCAAGGATATGGCAATATGACAAAACCATTGAACGACCTACTCAAGAAAGACACCAAATTCGAATGGACACCCGAACGAAGTCAAGCTTTCGAAATGCTAAAAAGGAAATTCACCGAATCCCCAGTTCTACGAATGCCTGACGCAACAAAACCTTTTGAACTCGAAACAGACGCATCTAAATACGCATCAGGAGCAATACTACGACAACAAGACAACAATGGAGACTGGCACCCCTGTGGATATTTATCCAAATCATTCAACAATACGGAACGAAACTACGAGATCTACGACCGAGAACTTCTAGCCATTATTAGAGCCCTCAAAGAATGGCGACACTATTTGATGGGAAACCCATACCCAGTCACCGTACGCTCTGATCACAAAAACCTAACCTACTTCAAAACCGCTCAAAAACTCAATCGACGACAAGCCCGATGGAGCCTTTTCCTCTCCGAATTTGACATTCACCTCACACATGTACCCGGAACCCAAATGGTTCAATCTGATGCCCTTTCACGACGAGCCGACCTTACTGTTGGAATGGAAAACGACAATGAAGACCGCACATTACTCCCTGACAACCTTTTTGTTAACGCCATTGACACGGAACTCCAAGAATTCATAACTTCTACAAAACAAATGGACGATGTCGTCAAAACTGCTTTACACGCAATACTCCATGGCGGACCCCTCCCTATGCGCTCCGCCCTTAGCGACTGGCGAACCGACGGTGACCTGGTTTTCTATAAAAACCGCTGCTACGTACCTGATAATATGGACTTACGCCGTAACATTATTCGAAAACACCACGACTCTATCCCTGCTGGCCACCCTGGCCGTCTTGTTACCCAAAACCTAGTCCAACGAGACTATTGGTGGCCTGGAATGGCCACGTTCATTCGAAACTACGTCGATGGCTGCGCCATTTGTCAACAACACAAGATAAACCGACACCCTATTTCCCCGCCTTTACAACCTATCCGTTCCGAACAACTCCGCCCATTTTCTCTGATCACTATGGATTTCATCACGGATCTCCCTCCCTCCGCCGGCTTTGACTCTATCATGGTCGTGGTCGACCACGGGTCTACGAAGGGGGTAATTCTAACTCCATGCCACAAAACAATCGATGCCAACGGAACCGCCTCTATTTTACTTGACTCACTCTACAAAAGATACGGACTACCAGACAAAGCTATCTCCGACCGTGGCCCCCAATTTGCCTCCCACGTCTTTCGAGAATTAGGACGACTTCTTGGCATCAACCTAGTCATGAGCACAGCCCATCACCCACAGACAGACGGCGCTACCGAAAGAGCAAACCAAGAAATCGAAGCTTATCTATCCATCTTCTGCGCAAATAACCCCGACCAATGGCGACAATACCTCCCTACCCTTGAATTCTCTTACAACACCAAACCACATGCTACACAAAAAGAATCCCCTTTATTCCTTCAAATGGGTTACAATCCAACCGCTATCCCCACTGCATTCCCAAGAACCAACATCCCTGACACCCAAGAACGCCTTATCAATCTCCAAGAAGCACGGAAAGAAGCTAATGCAGCCCATGAACTCGCACGACAAGTCATGACTGAACGTATTACCCGAGGCTTCACCCCATTCAAGATAGGAGATAAGGTGTGGCTAGAGTCACGATACCTTAAACTACGATACGAAACCAAGAAAATGGCACCTAAGCGAGAAGGACCCTTCAAAGTCATAGAAGTTCTAAGCCCCCTCAGCTACCGCTTGGAATTACCTCGCTCCTGGAAAATTCACCCAGTCATTCATATCACGCTACTTTCCCCTTACAAGACAAATGAAGTCTATGGCGATAATTTCCCACAACCACCTCCTGACCTTATTGAAGGCCAACCAGAGTACGAAGTCGAGTCAATAATTTCCCACAGACGACAGGGAAGAGGATATGCTTTCCTTATAAAATGGAAAGGATATTCAACTGCAGAAAACACTTGGGAACCCGAACGAAATGTCACCAATTCACAAGACCTTCTTCAAAGCTACAAAAATCGACACCGACTCTAGTGAAGACAACAAAGAAAATATCCCCCCTCTGACCACCCCCTCTATGACTCCCTCGTCAACAACCCCTTCATCCACGTCCACTCTCAGCACTACCGCCTCCCTTGCTACTATTCTTGAGAACGAACCTCTCAATGTCCACACTACGTTCCTAGCTACGCAATTTCCACTCCCCCCATCTTCTCCCACAAGCTCTACTACTACCAATCAACAATTCAGAATTCAAGACATTACCCACATATTCGACTCTCAATTCCCCACATATTCCCATTATCAAACCTACATACGAGACCATCTTCGAGACTGGACCCATGACTCCGACTTCAAAACATTTGACATCGCCTACTGCCACCATCGACTAGTACTTCCGCAAGCCAATACTTTAGAAAAGATGGCAGCGAGCCTTATCAAAATGGCACAAGAACTACGACAAACAAATGCGACCCAAGAACACAATATCCGACAACTCATCCCTCGCCTCGAAATCAATGGATTAAGTAAACGAATTGAACAGACTTTGACCCTAACAAACCCAACTGTCAACCTTTGGATCCCCGCTCCCCCTAACTCCCCTGTCACTTTCCCAAACAACATTCCTCTTAATAACCCTTCCGAAGAAACTGGAACTCGTATCCGTCCTCAACCACTCACTCGACAACCATCTGAAGCCAACATCCCTATTATCCGATCCATCCCATACACGATACGAGCACCCACTAGCCGACCAAAATGCTTTCAATGTGGTACCCTTGGACATCGCAAACAAGAATGCGGTGCCTACAAATGCCCCTCTTGCAAACGAGTAGCTCCTGGACACTGGCCCAGCAATTGTCCTAAGAACAAAGAAGAAGACAAAGCCCCTCTCCCCAAACGACGACGACAAGAACCAGAACACTGTACTAGCTGTCGACTCCCCCTCTTCTACGATCATGTCGCTTGGTGCCGAGGACAGACGGATGGTAACACTTGCCGATGCAAATCTAAAGCCAAAAAGGAAGAAGATTGCGATCCCGACATCTATGGAACTGGATTCTACGATGTGGACGGAGATGAAGACGGTAACCTTACCGGAGAACACTGAATCATGCGATAAGAACATTCCTATTTATATATTCATGACTCCCCTCTATTTCTGACTCTATCTCTCCCTATAAGAAGAACTCGCAGTCTATCTTCCTCTTTCTCATCACCGGTCTCTCTTTCATCATGCCTCTCGCACCTGCTGCCCACATCACCACTGCCCATATGAACTTCAATACCGCTACTGCTATGCGAGAAGATATCGACCAATTTCACGATTACGTCGAAGAAATCACGCCTGACAGTGGAATCCCCATTTTCCGACCTGGTCAACTCCCCCCTGTACTTCGTATTGCAGGTGGTCATCTATTCTTTCAAACCGAACACATTCGTTTCATAGTCCATCGATATTTCTTTGACCGAGAATCTATATGGCTCGCAGAACGGATGACATCCATCGACAAAGACCTCGCCGACGGACAGACCGAAGCACAATCCAAGAATTGAGGAACCAATATATTTGACGCCATCGAACTTCCCGGAATTACAGCCCAACAATTCGCCTCCCTTCTCTGGGTTATCTATAACCCCCGTTATGGAAGTCATCAAGCCGATACTCGAACGTGGAAAGACATCAATACTGCCGCCCAAGCACTCAAAATGGCACAAATTCGTACCCTTTCCGAACATAAGATCAAAATCACCCAACGACTTGACCAACAGCAAGAAGAACAACAAAGGAAAGACTTAGCCGAATACTTCGAAAATAACAAAATCGAGGACGATCTTTGAAGCTAACGACGGGCTAATGTTATGAATATCTGGTATACGCATATCTTCAGTCACCCCTTTTCTTTCCCTTCATACGTTACTCCCCCACTATCCTTTCGTTGCTCTATGCCCTGACCCCTTACCCTCTGCCCTCGTTGTACTATACATAGCTATCGCTCCCGCTTCCCTTATCGCTGACTCGTACCGACTCGTATTCCCAGCACGGACCATCTCCTTATCGTTGACTCGACCTCCTAGTATATAAGAGCCATACCCATAGCCATGGATCCCTAGTTTAGACCTTTGTACCAATACGGTTCTAATCTATCCTGCTTGCTCAGAACTCGTCATCTTCAGTCTCAGCTTTGTTGAATACGATTGCAGTTGTACTAAGTCCCTAGTTACTTGGTCTATTTGGCCCAGCACCGAACGCGAGTGCAAGCTTATAGTCGCCGTAACAGTACCTCCCTGTCAAGGCTGAGACCCTCGAGGCCACGTGCTGGTCCATGCGCAGTCAACATGGTATAAATAGAGTCAGACTTTGGAATCATCTCTTCAACTCGGACTACCACCTCTACCATGCCAAATACCTCAAACAACAATGCAGGCTCCTCGGCTTCCAACTTGGCAAAGTTGGAAGAAGCGCAGGCATGTATGTGCAGACAGTGGGAGGAGGAGGACCAATGTATGGAGGCGGAGATGGAGGCAGCATGGAAGGAGGCAGAAGAAGAGGAGAAACAGAGAGCAGAAGCAGAGAGGAAGAGATTGAAAGTGGAGAGGAAGAGTCAGGAGGAGCAGCAGCGGATGCGACAGGCAGAGGAGCAGAGGAGGAAAGAAGCGGAGGTTATAGACCTCAATGACAAAGAAGTAGAAGAAGAAGTGGAAGGCCCAGTGTCTCAAAAAAAAGAAAACTAAACAAAAAAGTAAGTGAATTCCAGTAAAAAAGGAACAAACATAAACTAAATGAATTATAGGAACAAGTAGCTCTGACTATGGAGCAAAACTGGCCGGCATGCGCCCAATGTACGGGCGCAGGCACTATGTGCCACGGAAAGATGTGTGGGCCCAGCTGCTGGAGGTGCTACCAGCTAAAGAAAGGCTGTAGCATAGTTGGAGGGAAAAAGAGGACAGTGACAGTGGACATGCCGGCGGAGAAGGTTGGAAACAAAGGAAAAGGAGAGGGGAAAGCAAAGGAGATCGTGGAGATGGAAGTGATATTGCGCACCAATACTGATTGGTAGCATGAGAAGAAAGCTTAAAAGTCGCCATCATGAAAATAAGCGGACTTTGAATTCACTTACCTATTTTGGAAGCGGCCCTGAATCACGTTCCTGGTCAACAAATCATTTGTTCAACGTTATCACCCTCATCGCTCATCATATTCTCAATGTCTCACACTATGCTCTCCATCGTTTACACTATCGACATGCTCCTAAGCATCTACCATCCATTTGTTCCTTGGCTAGCAATCCAGCAAAGCGATCAATCTACTATTTGCATCAGTCATTGGCTCGTGTTTGATTGTATCTTTGGTCCATCATTTCAAGAATGGCCCCTTTATGGATGCATCAGCCACATCTCCCATTATGTCAGAGGCTTTGTCATTGTTGTTGTGGCTATGGACCCACAAGTTTTCGCTTCAGCCATCTATCTTGCCATCCCTCACTCTTGGATCACACTCAGTCCCCTATCCTCAATTATCTACCTCTTATCTTATCATTCACTCCCAAAACCATCATTCACGCGGTACATGAAGCCTTCCCACCCTTTTTATGACAATTTAGGAAATCCAGGAGGATCACGACTAAGCAGGAATTGCAGATGAATCAGCAGCAGAGGATTATTCTCGCAGTGTGTCAAGTGTTATCAAGGCTGCGTGACATGGGATCATGGGCAAGTAGTGTTTTCTCCTGCGCCTTTCAAGTGTTGACTCAGGACCTTTCACATTTTTGACATGACCACACACCTATGGAGTTGATATATTTTTGCTATTGGACTATGTACACTGCCTTCTCTTCTTTTCTCTCGCACTTTGACACTTTACAGATTTTTTTATTGTTCCTTCTTCTTTTCCATTGTTCTTTTCTTCTCGCAGCTGTCCTCTCTTTATCTTTCTTCCTTGGACACATGTACTTCTTTCTTTTTATTGTTCTACATAGCCTCATCCTTAGGGTATAAATACTGCTCTTTTGTAAGGTAGGGCCTGTGTACTACATCACATGCTGTGACATTCCGTGACTCACACAAGTGCTTGTGCTTGGGATTTGTGTTCTTCAATGCATTGGGACTAGTTATATGTCAAATAGATTAAATATTAAAATTAAAATTAAGGGATATTAACATGCTCTAGCTCTTTCATAGCAGATTCTGGAAAAACATGGTGTCTCAATATCCATATAAATGAGGGAGAGAAAGATGTATTTTCTTAATAGCATCTCAACTAGGTAGTAATTTAAAAATTAGGTCACGCCATGATATACATATTCCTTTCCCTAGGGTCCTGCGCAGCTGAATAAGGAGGTTCACCCCTGTTGCAGATGCTATTAAACTAATGGTGGTCTCTTATGGAATGTCACACATAGTCACGTGATGTGGTGACCATGTACATGGGCCCTACCTTACCAGGATGAGTAGTTTTCCCCAATTCATTCTTAGACCCCTACAGTCATCATCTCAGTGGAGTTCCAGTTGTTAGGGCAACTGGGATGCTGACTTAGTCAAGCTAGCAGGGGATCCAAAGTTAATAATATTTCAAAGGGATATCTACAAGTGACTCACCTAGCAGGGGATCCAAAGAGGAAAGGATGGGGGTCCCTGCTAGGCTGTGGGGTATTTAAGTACTAATATGGACATAACAGAGATATAAAATAAATAAAGGAATGATATGATAATAATTAATTAATTAATTAAGAAGTGGTGTGATGTGAAAAATAAAAATAAAAGATGGAGCAAACCAGAGGATCAGAGTTGGATTGGAGTTACGGAGTATTGGAGTAAACAAATGACAGAAGCAGAGTTGGACGGTGATGTACCTGCGGTGGGGACAGACCGCAAGTAGTATGTAGTTCGTGGGGTTGATGTAGTTCTCTTCAGTAGGTGATAGTGAGGTTTTATGAGGTGCGAAGGTTCGCTTTAAAGTGTGAGATAATGCGCAGAAAAAGCGAAGCCCGCAGGATGATTTTGAAGGAGTGCAAGAGTAGCTTAGTACGACGTTCCAAAGGTGGGATCAAAAGTTTTGTAATTTGTCCACTCTCCTCTGTTCTATTCCTTCCCCTTACTTGCTACTGCTAATAATATAGTAACTAGCAAATAGCTAAGTGCGGAAAGGTGAAACAGAAATGTAAAATGCGGGTTAAAGCAGAGTCACATGGATCTGGTAATTTGGTAATGAAACATAGGAGATAAGAGCCAAATAAAAGGAGACAAGATAAAAATAAAGGTGATGAGTAATACAGTCACCTGAGTGACCTTCGTTGGAGTTGTGTTTAAAGATTGTGAGAACAGCTGGCAACTGCGAATGATAATGTGAATGTTGGTGATGACTGCAAGTATCTGCGATGATCTGCAAGTATTCTGCGATGATCTGCGAGTATGTGCGATGATGTGTGATGATCTGCAATGATGTGCAATGATCTGCAATGACCTGCGATGAATACTGCGAAGGTTGTGAAACCGCGAAAATGGTGTGTTTACATCCCTAGATGTCTCCTGGGTCCTATCAACGGAAGGTCGGAGGTCATCAGAAAGGCGGGATGTATGATTCAAAGGTTGAGGTTTGGGTTGAAATCGGGTGTCCCCTAACATAGGCTTCCAATGTGTTAACACTGGAGCTGAAATAAAGGCCTCATGCCTGTAAAAGTTAGCAAAACCGAGGAAGGACTGGACATCTTTGACTTTCCGAGGTTCCGGCCAGTCTTGAACGACTTGGACTTTTGCCGGATCCATAGAAAGGCCATCAGGACCAATCATGTGACCCAGGTACTCAATGGAACCGGAGTGGAAAACACATTTCTTACCATTGGCAAAGAGATTATTATCTCAAAGCCGTCAGAGGACTTCGGAGACATGTTCGATGTGATCTTTTTCATTGATGGAGAAAATGAGGATGTTGTCCAGATAAATGATTACAAACACATCTAAAAGGTCAGCAAAAATAGTGTTAAGGAATCTTTGAAAACCGCTGGGGGCATTGGTAAGTCTGAATGGCATGACGAGCCATTCAAAGGACCTATAGCAGGTATAGAAAGCAGTCTTCCATTCGTCTCTGGCAGCAATCCGGACAAGATGGTAGGCATGCTTTAAATCAATTTTAGTGTAGATTCCGGATTTGCAGGGAGCATCAAGTAAATTGGAAACAAGAGGTAAAGGATACTTGTCTTTCCGAGTGATGGCATTGAGTTTTTGGAAGTTGATGCAAAGCTGGAGGGACCCATCCTTCTTCTTGATAAATAGGACAGGTGCTCCGAAAGGAGACTTTAAAGGGTGGATGAAACCCATGTTTAGGTGCTCATTGATGAATTCTCAGAGCGTTCCCAACTCAGATTTGGAAAGGGGATAAATCAGACCCAAAGGGGGTTTCACGGACTCATCAATTTCAATTTTTAAGTCATACTCTCAATGAGCCGCTAGAGTGTTAGCTTTACCCTTTGGAAAGACATCCGAAAATTTGTGATATATTTCCGGAACACCTTCCAAGTTGGAATCGGAAGGTGTGGCGGAGGCTGTGGCAGAACAACTAGCAGCCTCAACTGGATCATGAACGGAAATGGAAAGCATTGGGCTCCTTCGGAACAAATGGACCTCATGAAAGCTGCAGCAGACACTAAGGAGATTTTAGGAGTGGTCAATGGTTTCGGAACAAACAGGATATCAGAAAGAGGTTCCAGAATAGCATCGGAAGGTTTTTCAACCTCCAAACTCACAGAAACTGTATCGGACATGGTAATGTCAGATACCGCAACGGGTGCCTTGGTGGAAACGGAAATGGGAACTGGATGGATAACTATATGGTCTCAGAAAGTTACACTGCTATTGACCCAGTCAATCAACAGATTATGTTGGGTGAGCCAGTCAAGCCCAAGTACAGTGTTAAGTTTAAAACAAGGAAGTCACGTCGGAGTTGCTCCGGAACGGACGGAACCGGAACCGGAACAGTAACCCGGAAAGGACGTTGGCCTCAGCGTGTGTGCTGTGCCGCCCAGCTCCTAAGGTGTCCTGATTTCGGAACGGAAGAAGAAGTAATAAGATGGAAGACCTCAGTGACTTAGAGGACAAACAAGAGGAGGAAACAAAGTTGATATTCGAACTAAGGGAAAACATACAAGTTCGAGTACTTTAAATATAAAAGGAATTGCAACCGAAATATAAAATATAAATATAAGTGCTGCGTTCTGCTCCCGGAAAAGGTCCTGCATTCTTGGGTGAATAATCCATGGCTGGTGTGCTGACTGATAGTGGGAAAGTGATGACAAAGGAATAGTTGTTATGACGAAGGTGTGGTAAGGTGTTTGGGGTATCGTCGGAAGAGTCGGAATGATACGGAGAAGTCTCGGAGTCGGACGTAGGAGGAGTAGAGTCGGAGACAAGGGAAAGTACTGGAACGAAGTACGGACTACCGGAAACGACTCCGTCGGAGTCGGACCGGAGTAACGTGTGACGGAATGTAACATACAGCAGGAAAATCAGAATCCAGCTTGGTTAGTAAAAATTGGATTTTGTGGACAGAACCACATGAGAACTGAACAGAAACAATGGTAGCATGGGTGATCATGCCTGGAGAGGAACCATCAATAAGACAGAGTGTCATAGGAGTAATAGGAAAAATAGGAAAATTCATTGGACTTCACGTAATGCTCATCCATGAAACAGTGAGTGGAACCACTGTCAATGAAAGCCAAAAAATCAACATTCGGAAATTGAAGACAAAGAAGAGAAACAAAAACTGCTTGGGTTTCTGGAGAGATTATTGCATTTA